AGACTGCGCTGATATATGACCACGGAATATCGAGATGACAGAATTTCTTGAACGCTACTGTTCTGGTAAACGCCACTCTGGTAGCGCTAATGGGTAGCGACAGATCCTGTAACCTCAGCTGGTAATCGATAATCTACGAGCTTATGGTACAACGAATGCTCGGTATATTCAATAGTATGTTCGTGAACTTCTACGCTATTCGTTTAAACTAATCTTGATTTCAACTGAAATTGAGGATGTACGGCGTGAAGAGTGAGGTTGAGCTCTTTGGCCTAGAACATTTGACAGGAACATTTTTTAAAATGTTGCTCCGCCCAAATAAGGGCAATATGGATTCAATACTGTGGCAATAAATGAACGCATTTCGTTTAAAACTGAAGCTCAGCAATTAATTTCTAGCCTTGCCGTCAACCATTTATACCCATGAACAACGCAACTGCCCTCTCGCGGGCATTTATGAGATGGGTGGCCGGAACACAGAAGTCGCTTTGGATGAGATTGCAGAATTTGACGTGGAAACACGATTTTTTAAATACAGATTTATTTATGCTAATTTAGCTACTATCATCTATCTTCTTCTTGCACGGTTTATTTTTTGGTAATTAAATGCGAGTACAATCCACCAAAGTGGACCGAAGGCCACGAAACATTTTCTCTTCTTTATCATCGTGGGAGCGAACAAAGTTCGACGACAAGAAATGTAAGGTAGGGTAAACTAGGGAGGGGATTGGTCTACTTTTAGCCACCACGGTAGCTGTGAAGCATCTTTATGAATCACGAACTGATCGGCTAACTAAGCGCTGGTACGAATATTCCATTAAACACAAGAGAAGCGGTTACAGGAACCTGCTCATATCATAAAAAGTAGACTGTGTTCACAAGCTCAAGGGGACGCGGTATGAAAGAACAGCCAGTCACACGATTCAGATAAATACATCTGTGCTTGTCTTGGGTGTTTCTTGAGATTATCCCCTTCAGTCTAGCCGTTTGAAGAAGAAAAAACAGGACGTCTCCATTTGCAGCTCTGCAACACTTTTCCGATCAGGCACAGGTTACTAGACGGTAGAAGAAAATATTCATCCCTAAAAGCAGACCTACTCGTAACTTAATCCCTCATGTTGCATGTTGGCTCCTAGTCGACGTCTGTTCCCATACGAGACACTTGAAGACTGGAGTAAATCGTGTATGCTCAACCAGGTTGTCCAACAAGGTCAACCTCTTTTTTTGAGCTCCAGGTCTTCTGAGGTCACCTATGCCTGGCCGGGAGAGAATAGACTCATTCTTTTCGCGTTTCTACGTGCATCACTCTTGCGTGCTCTTGCTCCTTCGTTGGAACAGCTGTACTCTCTCCGTGCCCTACAACAACACTGAACTAACAGAGAGTGGACAGAGATGGATTTTCGTGGGAAGAGCTACTCCATTCTCAGCTCAAATATTGGACAAGTTTTCAAAAGCATTCGAGATCAAAGCGATCCGCCTATTTGACTCCAGCTAGATAATTGCATCTCTGGAGGTAATGGATATACGATACTTAAACTTATCAACTTTCTAAAGAGCCTTATTTTGGTACCCCTTTAGATCATCTGTGCTGAATGGTCTCCTCATAACGTTCGACTCTCGAGCAAGAAGAAAGAAACCGATTTTTGCAGATGTGTTGCATACAGATTATTGCCGTCAGATGACAGAGCCCGCTTCCCGTGCAACTCACCGGAACAATATCATCTGCTTGCTCCAAGTCAGCAAATTATCTAGTCGGATGTTTTCAAACTTCGGGCCTTCTCATTAGAATGAGACCTTCGTCTCTGCTAGGACCAGCCTTGCTTCAGATAGAAAAATCTAGAACATTGTTCAACAGCATAGGCAAAATTACATCTTCCCAGCGAATTCTACAGTTAATAGAAAATCCTTCAAATAGCTAACCATCGACTTTGACAGTAAACATCATTTCTGCTTGCATCTTTTTCAAAATTGAAACGTTGTGCGCAAGTATCCCACAGTGTTTGAAGACTTTCGACATAGCTAAGGCAAGCGATGAATCAAATGCAGCTTTGTAATCGAGGAAACTGACAAATCAAGACAACTGACATCATCGGCATTGCTCTTACGCAAATTGAAACTTTGGCCAGGGCATGAATACCCTTTCAAAATAATCCCTCACGACAGTCTGATGATGAAATGTCTTGGAACTGTCGTGGACCGCTCGATCCTCCGGTGTCCTGCTAACTTTCTATCCACCCTCAGCCAGTTCGTGAAGTGTGGTCGCCAAAAACCAGAGGTTAGGCCAAAAAATCTGGGTATCGTCCCTGGTTCGGTTCTGTCACCGCTATTATTCAATATCTCTGACATGTATCAAGCGTACTGAGGGCATAATCCTGATGGGGTCCCTGCAGTCGACCAAAGACTGGGACACTTACGAAAACAGCGTCTCAACTAGCTGCAGTTTCTTCTCCGATAATTGTCTCATTTTAAACTCGGAGAAAAAGAAGGAGGGACGGGACATCGCGATGATTCGAGGCACAATAAAGAGGGCCCTTCTTCAGCTTTCTATTGAGGTTGGCGCTGGTGTCCGAGGTACAACACATCAAGTACCTCGGTGTGATTCTTTCATCAGACCTTACCTGGCATGATTACGTTCATGCAGTAGCGAAACGATGCTGCAAGGCCTGCTTTTCCGCCAAAAGACTGAGGAAACTTTATATGCTGCGAGATGCTGTTAAGAACTTCGTCTTCGTGTGTACCATTCCCTTCTATAGATTATTGTTGTGTTCCTCTGGCTGCAGGTATACCAATTCAAGATCAAGATCAGGTCAATAAAGTTAGCTTCCAAAGCAAGTGCCTTCATGACATTTGAGACCATGATCGATCTGCCTTCAGGGAGAAACAAAAAGAGTGTATTGCAGTCTGTGTTGGTACACTTAGGCATGCAATAAATAATAGAGGTTCTAAAATCGATAGTGGAAGTTGCTTCATAACTTCGCTCCAGAGCAAATTTAATTACATAGCAAAATGTTTGTTCACGCATTTCTTGATTGAATTGCCAAGGATTCCTTTATCTTTCGGCCTAGAAATTTTCTACCTGTATAAATGTCATTTGGTCCCGTAAAACGCAGTGCGGTTCTTGTACCACATATTCCACAGTCGCCTAGTTCTTCTGGCATTTTTCTTTACTACCTGCGAGTCTTTGCTTTGTCCTCGCCATTTTTCTTTATATGCTTGTTCAATCTGATGCAGATCATCACCATGTCATGTTACTGAGGTTTTCATCCCTCCTTTCTTCTATTATGATGTCGGTTTCTCCCATATAATTGAGGCCACCCTCATAAGATATGGCATAGATCTAGCCGTGTTGTTTGCTTTAACATACATCAACCGATTCCGTATTATTTTTTGGATCTGAAAAACAGTTGTATTAAACGGTTTTGGCGATTCTCTGCTGCTTCTCTCTTGGATGTTGCTCTCATGGAAAAATCGTGCTGGTGATGAACTTCTATTAGTTCTTCCCTTGCTACTCCTTTTTGGTAATTGCTTCTTCTATTAGTCGTCGAGAGCAACCACCTTTCTGAGAACTGTCCGGATGAAAACCAGGTCCTTTTTGACACCGCTTTTCGCATGCTGCAATAATTCTGTCTTTGCCGAAACAGCAAAGGTCGCCTAATAATAATCTGAGTTGCCATTTATAACAATCTTACGTCATAAATCTTGGATTTCTCTGCTGGTCAACGCTTATTAGCCTTAGAGGGCAATAAAAAAGGCAAAAACAAACAAAATTCGACTCCTTCCAATGTGATGGCATGGCCTATAAGCTGGATTTGTTTCCGTCCATTTCTGTATGTCGTCAAGCCGCTGTCAGCCGGTTGTCGTTCCATTCACCGCCAAACACAGGTGGCAGCCCCAACTTATTTTGAGCTTGAATTCGGAATATTCAACTCCGAGGCAAATTTAGGATGAGGGCATAAAAATGTGTAATCGCCCAAATCTGAGTCAGCCATTTCGACGTTTGTGAAAGGGCTTTACGACTAAGGTATGGAATATGAAGAATAATAATAAACACATTAATATTAGTAACAAATATTAGAATTAGAAATTAGAACATTGATTGCTAGATTGTCTACATTATCTGTGCATTGGATCCTCACTTTGGTCACTACTCATGGGCGAGAAATCGTTGCAGTTCAGTACTTTCCGCTGTGAGGTTCGCGGCTGAAGGTTTCACCGCTTAAAAAGTCTGACTAATCCGA